GTTCTTTCTTCTGAATGCAGGATTTAATTTAACTGAATTAAAAAAATTGCTAGCTTGAATTGTTGTATTATAAATGGTATTTTATCAGGCAAATTCGAAATGATAAGTTTTTTTTTTTTTTTTTCCAAACTTGGGTCGAACTTGTAATTCATTTTTCAGGTTAGATAACAAAACTTCGAATTTCTCAGACAAAGCGGTGGCTCATTTAGATTAGAACTTGGTAGCTTACAATCAAAATCTACCCACCATGGACCCAAGTTGTTATGTTATTATTTGTAACGGAGGAGTTGAGAGATTTTCTTTTTCCACGTTTGGAAGGTGTAAGTTAAGGCTCCAATGGAAATTTGATGGGAATATTTTGGTCCATTTTGGTGTGAATAGACAAAATCTCAAATATAGTATTTCTTTTTGATTTAGTTAAATTTGTATCTATGAACCCAGTAGTATTTATTAAGAATGGCAACAGGACGGGATGGGGCCGGGCCATCCTCGATTTAGGACACATATACTCTGCCCGATACCCACTTTGTACCTTGGCGGGACTAAAAATCTTTTTGTTTTTTAGATAGAAACAAAAGGAGCTACACAAAACGGGAAAAGCATCGGGGGTAGAAATCCTAGCCCCATTCCTGCCCCCGCAAGGAAACAGGGTCATTAAATTTGCCCGACCTCACCCCAACCATTGCTCGCAACCATGTCATCATTCACATTTTGGGTTGAACTTGAACTTGCCCCTATCTAAGTTGATTTTTCTAAAAGTTTTAATATCTTTATACCCATGGTTGAACTAGACAACTCGACCTGTTAACGGTCTAAATATTGACTGGATCGGATCACAGTTGAACCGTCCAATTAGAGTTGTCATTTGACTAGTTTTGGGTTTGGGTTGGGCAGAGCAAACCACTCAGACCTAATTGAATTGGATTAGCCAGACAATGCTCTCTTTAATCTATCCAAGCTATAGGCAGTTTTGGGTTGGTCGGGCCACTGAATCATCTGTTTGAGTCGGGTGGGCTATGCACAAACCACACTGACTCAAGCTCGATCATTTGGCCCAGTTTGGATACATGGTTGATTTGGGTTCAAGTTTGTATTGATTGAGCTGGTCTGAATCTAATCAAACCACTGAACCAAACCGGATTCATCCAAATCAGATTGGACCACCAAGCCTTATGGCTGTGTTCGGGTTAATTCGGATTTGGTATTAGTGAATCATGTCGGCCCAAATTGGATTAAATTGTCAGACCATTTGTCCAGGTTCAGGTTCAGGTGTGAGGTATAGTTGCATCATCCCTGTGTCAAATTCTGCTTGGAATTTATTATTATAGTTTTGAGTTAAAAATAGGTATTAATATTTTGAATTAATAATTATTTCTAATTGATGTGGGGTGACCCAACCCACGAGCGCCAGACCTGGGAATGAGATCCGCTACAGCAAGAGTTACTCTTCTCCTCTCGTACGGAGCCAATCGCGGATCGCCCACGTGTCCCTGTAGAGCTCTCTTATTGTCCTCGTACGACACCCATCTCAGGCGTTCATCTCCACCTACCTGTAGGCAGCTCAAGTATAAATAGGGGTGCTCCCCTCCAGGTAAGGGGGAATACAATCTGTGTCTGGACTTGGAACTGATCTCAAAAGCTGTATTCTAATTCTCCTCTTCGTACCCTGAACTAACTTGATCGTCGGAGACTCTGCCTCGGGTTCCACCTAGGGCCTCTGACGTATTCTGCCTTGTAGCACCTCAGCCACCTACCTTTGGCTTCTACAATATCCGTAGCCCTCTCTGCCTCGGCCTGCATACCTCAGCCTCGACAACAAGCTCCTCGAACCCTTAAAGCCTTCAGCCAGTCTTCGGATTCTAGGGGTGAAATTACTTTGTTGTCCTCGGCCATCCCGAGCATCAACAATTGGCATCGTTGTGGGAAGCATCACTAGGATGTTCCCTAAAAGAACTTTAACAAGCAAAAAAGTCCCCAAGCTCCAACCAACTAACATGGTACGAAGGACAAGAAATACACAAAATCTTGTCACCAATGTACAGTTCCAGGCCATGCTCGACCGCTTGGAATACTTGACACAGCGAGTTGAGCAGAACAACCCTCAGGCAGGAGGAAGCCCCACTGGGGAGTCAACACAGCCAGGCCGGCATGGGTCCACCAGCCAATTGGT